TTTGTGAGTTAAAGGTGTGCCAAGAGGCCAGGAGGGTTTCATCCACTTTGTACATATCATTTAAATCAACCAACCACTTCTTCTCTTTTGAGCTGCATGTCCGGTTTGTTCCAAACACATTAGGTTCGCTGTATTTGAACTTCAATGTAAAAATGCCTCACAATTGTAATCCACTGAAAACTACATGAATTCTTACTGCAGCTGCTTAGTACAAACTTTTTGGCTACTCATTTCATTAACAAAACATTTAGGATAACAATTCTCTTATTTGAAGAGAAACCCTGCAGGCTATGGGAAAAATTTGTCTTTGCAGTTTAGAGGAAACTAGACAGTTGTTCCCCTTTGTTTGTGTAGCACACAGGCAATGCCTGCAGCTTATGATTACCAAGTTAAACTTACCTGTCCAGCACATTACCAGCTTTAATGATTCCTGACTAATACTTAATAAATTGTGCCACTTCCTCAAAGTTAAACACCACCTTTAAACTGCATAAAGACTATAGATGCTATCTATGTGGATAAGCAATATAAAAAGCTGTAACCATAGGCAGCACCAAATACAATGATAATGTTATTGAGCTGCCAAATCAGCAGCAGATCTGATCTGAGTTACTGTGTCAGTGAGGTGTAAATGTGTTGCTCATTATCTACAGAACAAATCCAGATACAGATCACACTGTAATAATCCGTGCACAATAAATAAAACCCACGAGTCCAAAAGTCAAACTCCACCCTGTTGCAAAATGCACATGTTATTCCAAGCTCTTAAGGACATTTAAACACCTCTTAATCTGTCTTTTCAACACACAAACAAAGCTGATGTCCAATATATGTCTGATCTTTTGCATCCTAAATCCCTTCTTTTCACTTTCACTAAAAAACACATTTGTGTGGGTGAATTTTTTTTTCCTGCCAAGCCAGTTCCTATATTACAAGTGGACACCTGGAGATTTGTCATGTTTCCAACCAGGAAACTAACTGAAAGTTTAACACGTTTGGGAAAAAAAACATTTTTTAAACTCAATTATAGCGTGTGTTTTTCTCTATCCGACTTCCTCCTGTGTAACTTTTATGACACAACAATCGACGCGGGAAGGACATACAGGTTCAATGTCAAGGATTCAGAACAGCTAAGGACAAAACAGATACAGCTTCATGGAAATCCTTTTAACAATAAAGACAATCAGAGTTAAAAGGGAGCAATGCAAAGCCGGTACCAGTGTTGTTACCACCTTTTATTTTAACTGTGACAGAGTCCTGCATTAACTGAAACCCTGACAACAAACCTGTTCTTCCTGTTGGTTTTTTCACGCTCCGCCCCAAACAATCACCCATGTATGAAACGCAAAAAACCAAAACAGGGCAAGTCAAGAAAACATTAACCATTCTCATGCAGTCCAAACCTACGTTTGAATCCTCAGGTTCACCTTCAGCAGCGCTAGTTAGAACATAAACAGCAGTCTGAAGGGATTTTGTGGTAAAATGACTGCAATTGGGAAACATAATCACACAATTGCTTTACAATACCTTTGTTTATTTTAGTCTAGTCCATACAAAGAACAGACTGCATTAAACTAACTTAACTATTACATGTTGACACACTTAGCAAAACTGACTGCCAGGCACAATCCTATAAGCACAGAAGCTTAAGTGAAAGACATGAGTGTCAAATGTGTTGTGGAGTCTAATTCACTGCAAAGTAGGCTATAGTATTATATATCGCAGCATAGGCGAGAGTTAAAACCGTCTCAACCGCATGTCAGACAGCCAACAACTGCACTACCTTTATGACAGTTCTTCCTGTAGATCACAGGATACTCAGAGCACAACTTTCTTTACCACTTAACTCGGGTCATAAACCCTGCAGCTTCCTGTCTCAGACCGGATATTGCTTCTTCCTTCCATCACCACACTCACCGTGTCTGTATTTTCTGAACGAATGCACACCAGATCTCCAAAAGGTTACAGAGGCCAAAAACTAGTGCCTATTTTCACATTGTCACTCAATCTGCTGATTATGTACAGTAAAAAAACATATGAACCATGCTACTGTGACAGATTCACAGTGATCAAAAACAAGAACCAATTTTCACTGGACTAAAAGTTGACTGACTTATTAATCGATCTGCTTTCATTTATTCGGATTTAACAGTAGCCTGAAAGTCATCAAGTATTCTGGCTTCTCCTGTACGTGTCCTCGCAGGTTCATTTTCAGCATTTTCATCAGGGCAGCATTGTCCTCAACTTTCTTGTTAAACTGCAAAACGGTTATTTTAAATTTCCCAGTAAAGGCCAGATCGGCCACTCTTAGCTTTTCATATCAACGGCTGTCATCATAGTTCCTACTCTACTAAATGCTTTTTGTTTGTTTTTTTACATGTGGCTTGATAGTCTCTGTTTTGTGTCCGATATTACAAACTGATGCTTACACAGGTAAAGAACAAAAACATTCAAAGACCTTTAACAGAGTCACCGCTACCTCTGTGTCTTACAGTTTCAGTGAAGCTCAGTATGCTGGAAACTGCATTCATTTTTAAACTGGATAAACAGGCAAGTGCATTTCAACAGCCAGCTAGTCTTGCATTCCTATTCTGTCTCTGCAGGCAGTTTGTTCATTTGAATGCTGTTTACCAGCCAGCCTGATGTGTGTACTCTAAGAGCCAGCTGCTCAAAGGGAACTTTGAATACACAGACAGTCATGAGTTACAGTTTGCCAACTTAGTCGTGTACCTGGGCAACAAATAACACATAAAACAATTAAAACAACAAAGAGAGAAGCAGGGCCTAACTATTAACCCTACTCACACAAACCCACACTTCAGGTTCCTTGACTTAGTCAGCTGATCTGTCTTGGTAAAACTATGAAACCATCTGCTCAACTTGCCCCATCTTGTCACAGTAAAAACACACCTTTGCCGTTGTATCTTGCTATTAAAACTGCCTCGTGCATGTTTTTATCTGCCTGCTGTGTAAAAGCGACTTGAAATACGTTACTGTCAAGGCTCTGTAATGCCATTGTCAATACAATGATAACATTGGGGAGGCTTCAGTGCGATCAGTTAGCCACCTCCGAGGCAAATGTAATGAGATTGCGAGGTGCGCACTGGACTGGACGGATACAACAGTTTGCCCAGTCGAGCGTTTCTTGGGTTCTCTTGGCAAGCATTGATGACAACACTTTCAGTTGTCACCACGCAAATGATGCAACCCCTCCATCCCCTAAACATGCTTAAAATATTTGTGAACTAAGTGTAGAAATAGCTTAAATGGCACACAGTTCTGTCTCCACCGTCACAGTGAGATTACACCTGCTAACTGCATCCTGTCTGGTGCAAATATCCAGTCTGTCAAGTGTTGGGGATTTTTTTTCCCCTTTCTCTTTTTTGTGCATTTGTTTGGGGCTTTATCAGTCTGTACTTTACAATTCAGGTCATTGATTCATTATGACTTCATTAGAAAATGCTAGAACACACAATTGCTGTAGTGAAGCAACAACAAAACACATAATGCAGTCTTTGTTTTCAGACAGAATACCTGTTCCTGTGCTTTCTTCGATGGACAAAGTAAGCAGTGTGGCACAGCCATGGGAGGTTGTTCACATTATCTCTGTTCCATCACGTTTCTATGCTCATGCCAGACCCAAAAATATTCTTTCTGTGGTCTTTTCTTTCCTGCGTGGCTCTCTGAAAACTGCAGACCAAATCACTGTACATCCTGTTTAGATAACGTTCATCAGCTTTAAAAATGGCTACATCTCAGCTTTTTGACACAAGGAAGAAAGGTTGAGCAGAAAACTGCCCTCCAGAACCAAAGCTTTCCATCTGACCCACCGTGACTTCAGGAAGGTCTTGCTTGTCAGGAACAGCTGTAAACCCAATGAATTACTACTCCTAGGTTACAGCATGAACGAGTAACAATTTCTCCACCTTAAAATGTACTCAGAGCTGAACCAAGGGCACCTTCTAAAAACCAACTTTTCTGCTAAAGAGAATACTAATGTCAGGCGAGGTATCTTCAGCCAGAAAAGTCTACATGACCCATTCATGTGCTTGGGAAAAAACATGTAAATCTTCTGAGTAGTAATCCAGATCTCTAAGGTCACATGTAAACAGACTAGGATTGTGTATCCCAACTTCACCAAGAGTGTAAGTCACACTGAGAAGCCTGCAATCAAAATACGTGGTTGCTCTTAAAGGATGAAGGACCAGGACTTTAGTCATAATATCTAATGTCAGGGGGAAAAGCAGTTTGGCTTTACAGAACTTTTCAAGACAATCCATTAGTGACTCACTTGAGTGATTACATTCACGTACATATTAGTAAAACTTTGTGGATGTGTGGTCTCAGCATGATTGTTTCTCAATTCTGCTTCCTTTTTTTTGGAAAAGCAATCTGACAGCATCCCCTTGGTCTCTGCAAAATTGTGATATCAAGCTTGTGACAGGGCTATTTTTTTTTTTTCAAATTTGTATTAGCAGCAGATGAAGCATCAGCCATGATCATGACCAACCCACAGCAAAGATTGCTATTTTTAATGTCAAAGTACCCGTTTATGTTAGTTAGTGCTGCCAAGTTGTGCTATCAGATAGCCCTAAAACAATTCATTGTACATGCAGTGTCTCTTGACTAGTAGTCATAGTACAATACCCACTTACAGTGTTGATTGTCCTATCATTTATCTATTGTCTATTCCTGGTTTTATTACAAGCTACCTTATTGCCACAGACGGAAAATTATGATCTCCTCGCTGGAATTTTTATAGAGGTCTCAGTGCTTTTATCAGCAGACAGGTTGCTTCATTCGCCAACATATATCCAAGGCCATTCAGCATTTGCATTAGAGAAGAGCAAAAACAGCTGTTTCGTTTAAAGAAGTGAATGCCTCTTCCTGCTTGGCAACCACATCCACATAAATGATGACTGCATTTCTCTTAATTAAAATCTGACATCCATACTCATGGATAAATATCAGCCTGGAGCAGCAGTGCTGTTTAACTCTATACTCCCAGGGGAAAATATACATAAGCTACATCATCTGCATGTATGGCTCTCTGTCATGCAGAAAGATACTACATGTAAGGAAAAAGCACAAACACAAAGGTCATCATAACCTGCCCAAACAGGTTCAGCAGTTCAGATAGTAGTATCAGCGCGATGAATATTTGAGAGCTTAAGTTTTAAGATTGTGAATCATAATTCTAGCTACCCTGCGGTGCAAATGTGTATCTTTGGGGGAAATTTCCACCCTTACGGTGTCTCACTTTACTGATCTTGTGTAATTTTCGTGCCCGGATCCCACCTAGACGGGGTGCCAGATCAGCTCAGTTACCTGCCATTTAATTTAAACGAGCGGAAGCTGCTTTCTCCTTACCTTGGGCAAGTCTCGGAGTTGGTTGGCATCCAGCAACAGCTCCTCCAAACTCCGTCCGTAGCGAAAAATCTCATCGGGCACATAGAGCAGGGAGCAGTGGCGTTTATCGATCGTCTCGACATGACGGTTGCACCGCCACAGGGGTATACAGTTAAACATCACGGGGAAGGTGGAAATAAATCTCGTACCCGTGCGATAAAAGAAGCAGCGGGGAGGAGGAGATGGTGGAAGATGCAACAGATTGCTATGGCGGGACAGCCACCGACAAACACAAGCGAGGCGAAACTCGCAGGCAAGTAAACACCGAAACTCCCGCTGTAAGTCAGCCGCTGTAACGTTACCGAGCTAACGTTCCGCAGGTCGCGAGTAACATGGGTGCTCCAGTCCCCGTCGTAGGTTCACTTTGTAGTTTGCAGACACCTGTTTTTTCTCTCCACTCGGTTCCTCGTCCAACGTCCGCCTTTTTTAAAGCCCCCTCTTAAGCGTTAAACACACGGGCTACATCTCAGTGTAAAGGAGGGCGGCATTCTCGTGTGGTTTTTTTTCTTTTTTTTCCGTCTCGTCCTGGAGTTAATTTCCTCTCCCGTCCTGTTTCTGACCCGGAAAATTCACTCCCTCATTCCAATCCTACGTCATCATTCCAGGCTGCTCCTCCCTCCGGTCCCTCCTCTGGATCCCGTCCCGCACGGGGCCGCCATGATAGGGCACAGATGACTGGCAGCGGCCCGGGGCGGGGGAAGGGCACCCACAGTGTAAACCCCGGACCTCAAGTATGTGAATTATCCAAGTTCAAACCTGTATTATGTCTACAACTTTAACTTGTTACTCACTTGCAAGGTACTCATACTTGATACATGAGTTTTTAAGACCTGTACTACTCATATATGCAAATTGTGATTTAATTTCCTTTTTTTAAAATGCCATTGGGTTCAATAAGTACTTTAGTTTAAAAAAATATAATTTTCTGGTAATTAGTCCATGGTTCAGGTTTAAAGGGTTGCAGTGTTTTATCCTGTACTATTTTAACCTGCTTTGTTTATTTTATTTTATTTCATTCAATTTCATTCAACAAAAAAAGCGTGGAAATACTGTGTGAACTCAATATAAAAACAGAAAGCAATGAATTTCACATAATATATTCAATGTTTAGATCTCATTTAAAATGGTACAAATACAATGTCTTAAAACTGACAAAGCCACTTCACTGGCTCCCAGTTTAATACAGACTTACCTTTAAAATCCTTTTATTATAGTTGATAAAGTCCCAGTGCATCTCGGTATCTTTACCCAGTCAGACCTCTCAGGTCATCAGGGGCAGATCTTTTAACTCCTTCCTTGAATTAAATCTAAGTGTCTTGACTTTCTTACTTTGATCCTGTTTTTCACAACAAGCTGCCAGCTGACCTGAGGTCAGTTACAGCTAAATTCAAAAGCGAGCTTAAAACGGTTTTATTCTTACAAGCCTACACACAATAACTAATATAAATATTATATAACTAATAATAAATCCTATTATTATTTTTGCCTTTGTTTTTTTATCCTGTGTTGAGTTCATATCTAATGAAATAGATTTAAAAGATTCGGATCATCGTACTCCTTTTTAAACATGTACATTGTGTTGTATATTGATATTTGTGGCAATTTAATTTTTTTACTTTTTTCTATTTACAATGTATTTTGTTGCTATTTCAGATAACTGTACATGTTTGAAATAAAACAGTCTGACAATCAATCATTCAATATCTCCTGTAAGATTAAAGTTGACACTGACATCAAAACTGGGACATTCTCTTTCTTTTCTTTTTTTAGTACTAATCATTTTGAATTTGATGCAAGCAACACACCTAAAAATGGCTAGGATGGGGGGAAATTTCTCCTGCTCTTCATAAAGCACTAAACGTTTAGTTACCAGGTCTGGAAGACCAGTTTCCCCTGGACTCTTTTATTACAGAGCCATTAAACCAAAGAAGAGCTTATATATAAAACGTCATTGTTTAATCGGACATTTATGTATCTGTCTGTGCCACATGCACTCTCCCACAACATTACAGAGGCTTGCTTTTAAAACTCGCCCTGGTAAAAAGTCAGATGGTCCCTTTTATCTTTAGCCCGGAGACCATCATCTATAATTTCCAAAAATTTTCCTTAAATATAGATTCATCAGAAACCACAAGAGATTTCCACTTTGCCTCAGTCCATCTTACATGAGCTTGTACCCAGAAAAAGTTGCAGCTTTTTTTTTTTCTGTTGTTTTTTTAACTAAACTGGCACCTTTAGCAAGAAAAATCCTGGTCTCCTCCTGACTCCTATTGTTAGCCGATTTCTTTTTCTTTTTAGATTTGTTACATTTATAGTGTAACAATGCCAGGGGCAGAGTGGCAAGAAAGAAAGTGAAGAACAAAACAAAAACAAACGAAACTTTACTTGTAATTCTGTTTTTCTCAGAATCTCCAAGTTTTAACTTGATTTTATGGTTGCAGAGACAAACTGTGTTTTCTGACAGTGGTTTTCAAAAGTGTTGCTGAGCTCATGCAGAAAATTTCACTTCTGTTATTAATGAAGCACCACCCGAGAGCACCAAAAGTAACTGAGTTTTTCAGCATTTTCCGCTGTATGCAGAAATACCTTCACATGGCTGTCTAACCAGTCTGCATGGTTGTTTGTTTTGCCATGGCCACTGTGCACAGTGTTCTAATTGTCAAATACCAGGTACTTATGCAACCACATACTGGGAAAGTCCTCCATTACATCTTTATCAACTGCAGCTGCACAACATCTACTTTGGGATGCCCCTGTGCAACTTTTAAGACATGCAGACTGAAAAATGTATAAAAAACATAGATCATAATATTGGATAGCATTATTCACAGACTGTATTATTAAAAAGCAGTTACCTTCTTCATGTCACCGCAAGTCACTGCTCCATAAAGAGACATCTGGGATTTATACTCTAAACACTTTGCAGCCTTAAAACAAAGATCTAAATTTGTCACACTGGGCAGATGTTTATACAACCCCAATTCCAAAAGTGCTGGGATACTATGTAAAATGTAAATAAAAATGGAGGGCAACTGATTGTTGTATTCACAATAGGGCATAGAAAAATCTTTACACTGAGACATTTTTATACTATTTTGTAAAAAAAAAAAAAAATGGTAGCTTATTTTGAAATTGTTGACAGCAAAAAAAGCAAAAAGTTAATTTCTTAGAAATAAAACAATATTCTCGTTTTATATTTTCTGTGTTCTGTTGAGAATAAAATGTGGTTTTGTGAGATTTGCAAATCATCGCATTCCAGGTTGTTTTTTTCCCCATATTTCACACAGTATACAAACTTTTGGAATTGTGGTTGTACTTGCTGTATTTTGTCATTTTGTACTTTTGGAGGTGTGACACTTAATGCACTGACTTTGGCAACTCCCACTCTTAAATGTATTACCCAATAGGATATAAACCCTGTTCAACCAATTACCCACTGACAGCTATATACCTGGTTTAGGTCAACTACAATGGCTTTGTGCACTTTGACTTTGATGAAGATGCAGAAACATTAACAGTTTGTTTGCACAAGTGTGAATCATTGTGCTGCAGCCATCTTTTGCCCTCTGCTACTTCGCCGAGGTCAGACTTGAGGAATGTGCGGAGTATGACAAATAATCCCTTGAT